TAATTATAAAAACTAATAAAAAACAATAAAGCTCTTTTTTCTTTTTCTTTTTCTTTTTCTTTTTATTTTGCTTGCTTATTTTTGTTGTTTCTTTGTTAATTTAGCTCATCATTTTATTTTCAACTTTTGCTTTTATTATTTATTTCTTATTATTTCATATTTTTTCTTCATTTTTTCCTTCTAATTAACTATTTAATGATATATTTTTTCTTCAATATTTAAAAAGTGGAAATTAAATTGGTGCAATTGGTGCATCAGGCTTAGGTTCTGCTTTAGCAAATTGCATTAATCTCTCAAATTTGACACTTGACCTTGGGTAAAAACAATTTATTTGTTTTGGATTGTGATATTTTTAATTATAAAAACTAATTAAAAGCAATAAAGCTCTTTTTTCTATTTCTTATTATTGTGCTTGCTTTTTTTTGTTGTTTCTTTGTTAATTTAGCTCATCATTCTATTTTCAACTTTTCCTTTTATTATTTATTTCTTATTATTTCATATTTTTTCTTCATTTTTTCCTTCTAATAAACTATTTAATGATATATTTTTTCTTCAATATTTAAAAAGGGACAATTAAATTGGTGATGAAGGTGCATCAGGCTTAGGTTCTGCTTTAGCAAATTGCATTAATCTCTCAAATTTGACACTTAAACTTACGTAAAAACAATTTATTTGTTTTGGATTGTGACATTTTTAATTATAAAAACTAATAAAAAAAAATAAGGCTCTTTTTTCATTTTCTTTTTATTGTGCTTGCTTTTTTTTTTCTTTCTTTGTTCATTTAGCACATCATTTTATTTTCAACTTTTGCTTTTATTATTTATTTCTTATTATTTCATATTTTTTCTTCATTTTTCCCTTCTAATATGATATTTTAAACTATAAAAATGAATATAACACAAAAAAGCTCTTTGAATATATTTGATAATTTTATTTATTTTATTTTTTTATCTTTTTTATTCCACTAAATTTATTTTATGTTTCAATTTAAAGAATAATTTTTAATTTAAAAGTTTATTCTATTTTGATATTTATTTTAAAATTTACACAAATTTATTATAAAATGTTTAGCTCAATGAATGAATAATTAGGACTCAAGGTAAAAAGCAAGTTTCTTAAATCAAAAAGATTAGTTGTCATTTATTTCGAATAATGATAAAAAATTGGTGAAAAAATGATGAATAAATATAAAATGTTTGAATAGTATTATATATTTTATTATATAATATTTTGGAAAAGTGTGTTTAACCAAAAATATAGATAGATAGATAGATTTTATTATTGATTTTATATTATTAAATATCATTCATATTTTTGTAAGTAAATAAATTATTTATAAAAAATAAAAAAATTAAATTTACTTAAATAAATTAAATCCTCATAAACAAACTCTCTTGTTTCTCTAAAAATGATCAAATAATTTGAAACTTTTAGTGTTATATTAAATCTTATTAAATTATATAAATGCCAAACTTTTTAGTAATATTTTAATCTTAAACATTATCCATCAATCATATTTCTATCCTTTTTTTATTTATCATAATTAATCAGATACCATGATTTAAATAAAACCTCAGGGAGAAATCAATTTTACTTTTTATCTACTAGGTTTTTTTCAAATATTACTAAATAAATTACTGGTCATCTCTAATTCCTACTAAATATATTTTTAAGTATATGTTTTAAATACAAATATTAATTTTTAATAGTGAATGTTAAATTAATTTTCTGTGATATCTCTTCATAAAACCAAATATATAAATTAATATTTGATCATTAATTAATTAATTATTATATTTATTTGTTCTTTTTAACCATTTATTATTAATTAATTAATTAAATTTCATAAATTGCTATTCAATATTTTTGAAAAAAAAAATAAATGATATAATAGATTAAAAAATATAATAATTTAGAAGAAGTAATTATAAATTTTTTAATTAATATCCTTTAAATTTATATAAATTAATAAAAAAAGTTTAAAAGCTCTTCACTTTTATCTCATTAGGTTCTCCATATTAATTTGAGGTATATTTAATTAACAAAATTACTTTTATTATTATTAATATTTTTTATTTATTTAAATAAATAATTTTTATGAAAGAAATTATAAAATTGGTGTAATTGGTGCATCAGGCTTAGGTTCTGCTTTAGCAAATTGCATTAATCTCTCAAATTTGACACTTGACCTTAGGTAAAAACAGTTTATTTGTTTTGGATTGTGATATTTTTAATTATAAAAGCTAATAAAAAACAATAAAGCTCTTTTTTCTTTTTCTTTTTTATTGTGCTTGCTTTTTTTTGTTGTTTCTTTGTTAATTTAGCTAAACATTTTATTTTCAACTTTTGCTTTTATTATTTATTTCTTATTCTTTCATATTTTTTCATCATTTTTTCCTTCTAATTAAATATTTAATGATATATTTTTCCTTCAATATTTAAAAAGTGACAATTAAATTGGTGATGAAGGTGCATCAGGCTTAGGTTCTGCTTTAGCAAATTGTATTAATCTCTCAAATTTGACACTTTAGCTTGGGTAAAAACAGTTTATTTGTTTTGGATTGTGATATTTTTAATTATAAAAACTAATAAAAAACAATAAAGCTCTTTTTTCTTTTTTTTTTATTGTGCTTGCTTTTTTTTGTTCTTTCTTTGTTAATTTAGCTCATTATTTTATTTTCAACTTTTGCTTTTATTATTTATTTCTTATTATTTCATATTTTTTCTTCATTTGTTCCTTCTAATAAACTATTTAATGATATATTTTTTCTTCAATATTTAAAAAGTGGAAATTAAATTGGTGATGAAGGTGCATCAGGCTTAGGTTCTGCTTTAGCAAATTGCATTAATCTCTCAAATTTGACACTTGATCTTAGGTAAAAACAGTTTATTTGTTTTGGATTGTGATATTTTTAATTATAAAAACTAATTAAAAACAATAAAGCTCTTTTTTCTTTTTCTTTTTATTGTGCTTGCTTTTTTTTGTTGTTTCTTTATTAATTTAGCTCATCATTTTATTTTCAACTTTTGCTTTTATTATTTATTTCTTATTATTTCATATTTTTTCTTCATTTTTTCCTTCTAATTAACTATTTAATGATATATTTTTTCTTCAATATTTAAAAAGTTACAATTAAATTGGTGCAATGGGTGCATCAGGCTTAGGTTCTGCTTTAGCAAATTGCATTAATCTCTCAAATTTGACACTTTACCTTACGTAAAAACAGTTTATTTGTTTTGGATTGTGATATTTTTAATTATAAAAACAAACTAATAAAAAACAATAAAGCTCTTTTTTCTTTTTCTTTTTATTGTGCTTGCTTTTTTTTGTTGTTTCTTTGTTAATTTAGCTGATCATTTTATTTTCAACTTTTGCTTTTATCATTTATTTCTTATTATTTCATATTTTTTCTTCATTTTTTCCTTCTAATATGATATTTTAAACTATAAAAATGAATATAACACAAAAAA